TAATAGGAGCGCAGATACAACGTGGAAAAAACGTTCCTATAAAGAAAATAGGTAACACACTTCCTGTAAGGAAAAAAAAAAGTGGGTTCTTGAGCCACCCAGAGCTCCTATACTTTACTTCAGACAGGTTTAAAGTCTTATACACATTGTTGCTGCATCTAGTATTTTCATATTTTTCTGTTGAAATCCATTATTTTGAGCCCATTCTTGGGCTATTCATTGCTTTCCATCTGTTTTAACCAAAACAAGATTAACCAAAGTTTCCAAAACAAGTCTTATTGGAGTGTTTCCAGAGGGCTTCTGGTGTTATTTTTAAATACTGCTACACTGAAGAGGAAAAGGAGAAAGAAAAAAAACCTCAAAAGTAATGTTGTAATATTATGTTTCAAATTAAGTAGATTTACAAGTTTGAATTTATTCATAGATTCCAGCTTCTGTACATAAATTGCCCATTATTTTTTTAATGTAACCATACCACTACTTCTCTCTTCTCTTCTTCCGTCCTTCCTTCTTTATCTTTTTCTTCTTAACCAAATTTTATTCATTTAAATATCCTTTTTACATAAAATCTGCACAATGCATAGTTATAAAGAGGCATAATTATGTTACCAATAAACCCCAATACCAAGAAAGAACCATTGTATCGGTTGATTTATTTCCTTCAGCCTCATGGTTGAGTGAAGATTCTTTGTGTTCTTTGTTCTATTTGCCCCCATTTATCAGTCTACTTAAGTAAGAAAGCATGCCATGGTTAGAGACCTGGAGTACTAGCTGTGACTGACTGACCTGCTCCCTGTCTCTGCCCACTGAAGCCCTGAACCTCCCCATCCTTCAGCCAGAGCCGGGACTCAGATGAGAGCGCCTGCTACTATACCCAGTCTGTCTCCTCCGTCTTCAACAGCTGTTAAAGATAGCAGCTTAGATCTGTTTGGACCTTTTCTCATGTTGTGGAATAAAATGTATGTACTCTGGCCTAGGTGGACCCAGAGCCCTGAGCTGCTGTAATTCCTGCTTGTGTTTAGAAAAGTGTCAAAGCAAAGACTTTGAAACCTATCAACCCCTTAGTTTCTTCTTATGCCTGAGCTTTGTTAAGTTTAAATTAGGCCCAGACCTAATTGCCCAGTTATTTTGGCAGAAGGGAACCCTTTCTTGAATTTTCTAAAGAAGGGTTTCACTTTAGAGTTTCATAGTGTATAGGCAAGGAATTTTTAAAACCAGGGACCAGAAACTTCTCCTGTAAAGGGCCATATAGTAAATATTTAAGCTTTGCAGGCTGTGTGTTGCCGCTACTTTGCCCCTGCGTAACAGACAATGCGTAAATGAACATATGTGGCTGTGTTCCAATAAAACTTTATTTGAACTATGGCAGCAGGCCATAGTTTGCCATACATTTTAAGCTGTGAATCTCTAAAGCATTGTGTGATGACATATCTGTCCATTTATGGAAGAAGTTACATATTTATATCACACACAACAGGAAATTAAGGGTTTAAACAATGAAAACTATGAAAATATTCTGAATGATGCAAAATGCATTAATCATAAAAGAACAAACTGACAGGTTTGACTACATAAAAGTGGAGATCACAAAACACTATAATAAAGATAAAAGATAACAAACTGGAAAAAAATTGTTGTAATCTATTTGACTAGCAATTGGTGTGGTTTCTACACACCAATAAGAGGAATAAACTCAAAAGGAAAAAGGCAAGATATAAATTCACAAGAAAGGATATATAATGGTCAATAAACATGAAAAGATGCTCATTCTGACTAATAGTGATATCTCTTTATTAAGGGGAAATTTTTTGTCTGCCAAGTAAAAAAATCTGAATAAATACTTCTAATAGTATATTGGGAAACAGGGAAATAAACAACTGCAGACGATTGTCATATCTTACATTAGTTCTGTATTATTGTGCAACAAGTTACCCTACAATTTAGCAGCTGAAAACAGCAAACATTTATTATCTCACCATTTCTGTGGGTCAGGAATCAAGAGTGGCTCAGCTAAGATGGCTCTGTGTAAGGAGTTCCCCTGAGGTTGTAGTGGAGCTGTCAGCCAGGGCTGTGGTCACTGGGGCCACACAGTCTACTCCCAAGGTGACTTACCTGAGTGTTGGCAGGCCCAGTTCCTTACTGCCTGTGCCCAGAGACATCAACTGCTCTCTCCTTGGCTCTCACCATTGGTGTCTTACACCATGGCAGCTGGTTTTCCCCCAAGCAAATGATCAAAAAGACAGAGCAACCAAGACAGACACCATATGAGGTTCTATAATGTGATCCCGGAAGTGACATACCATCACTTCTACCATTTGTTATTGGCCACACAGACTAATCTTTGTGCACTATAGGAAGGGACTACACAGTGGGGTGAGCACCAGGAGGCAGGGATCCTGAGGAACTACCTTGGAGGCTGGCTACCACATGGCTGCATTGAGAGCATATGCCTAAGGCCTTATTTCTCTCTGTCACTGAGTTCTAAAGTTTTCCACATGGTGTCTACTGCAAACAGAATATCCAAAACGGCTTTTTTCCTCAAATGTCTGGCACCTGACTGGGTTTGGCAAGAGCACTTGGGGGTTGGCTGGGCATCCTTTGCTGCATGTGGCTAGCTTGGACTCCCTTACAACACTGTGGTCTCAGGTTAGTCATACTTCTTATGTGGCAGCTGGCTTCCCCAGAGCCAATACTCTAGATCTTGTTAGAAGATGCATAGTTTCTTATGACCTAGTGTCAAACTACTTCCATTTTCTGTTGTCAAAACACATCACAGGACCAGCCCAACTCAAGGGTGTGATTACCAGGAAGTGTGACTTACTGTGAAGGGCCATTTTTGGAACCTATGCCAGGAGGTTATGCTTTGGCTTGTTCTAAAGTGGTAGCCATGAAGGTAATACGTATTGGACTGATTTTGGATATATGTTGAAGATGAAATTGACAGGATTTGCTTATGTATTGAATATGTAGTATGTGGGAGAAATAGGTCAAAGATGAATTTGAGATTTTTGAGCTGAGCAATTTGAAGAATAGGGATGCCATTTACTCAGATGGGAAGGACTGCAGGACAGCAGATTGGAGAGGAAAATAAGAATTGGTTAAAATATTGGGTATCTTTGTTAGAAGATTTGTATAAAGATGTTGCTGTTGTGGGAGTGGGGTCTGCAAATATATCATGAAGTAGAAATACTACCCATGGAATTAGTTGTAAGGTACAATAAATAAAGTATGATTCCTGTTATGAAGAAATAAATAAATGTGTATTTATTAATACATGCTTTATTCCACATAATTCTAACACGTTCTAACCTGTTTTCCTAGGGCAATATTAAGAGTTTGGAGTTTATTTCATAGGCAGAGGGAGCTTTTGGGAGGTTTTTGATGAGTAGAATGATTCAAACATAATTATGCTTTGGAAAGATGAATTTAACAGTGTAAAGAATGAGAGAACAGTGGGGAGAGTCGGGGACTGAACTCTATAAACACATACCAAGTTTCTTTTTAATTTCTTTGAAATAAGTCTGTGGAGGTCAAAGACAATTTTGCTTTCCTCATTTATATTTATAGCTTCTAGTCTAGAGCAAACCACGTTGAAAAAAAATAAAGGTTTGGTAAATGGTGAATGAATGGATACATGCGTCATCACCAGTTCAGATCATTTGAGAAGAGACTAGTCTGAATTAGTAAAATAGCGCAATTACATTTTTTCTATTGGTTTTATTACATTCAAAAGGTAACAGAAAATAGTATAGCATTATAGGTAGTACACCTGTGGGAGGTCTGATTTAGTTAGTAGACCAAAAGCGTATCAAATATCTTACTTTCTTTGATGCTATATTTGACTTTTTTTTAAAGGGTTTACAACAAATTAGGGTCATTTTAAATTCGTTTCCTACCTGCATACATTCTTTAAGAGCTCCGTTTGTCAAAAACAAATGCCTTTTGAATGGTAATAAAGGATCTGAACATATATTGTTCAAAAATATTAAAAGTGTCTAAAGGAATTTCAGAAGAGATTTTTTTCAGAAGAGGCTCTTGATTAAGTAATCGAAAGACCGTACATGGGCCAAAGACCATACATACTCCCTTCTTTCCCTAAAGAGATACATTTTGGGCTTTGTTTCAAAAATGATATAAACAAAGATGCAAGACAAATGAGAAATTGAAAAGTAAAGTCACTTTAAAATAACTAATGATAGATTTTTTAAGGAGGAGTTTTTGTCCCTTCAGATTTTTATTTTGGTCAGATAATTATCATTATTATTATTATTTTTATTTTTATTTTTCAGACTTTATTCAAGTATAATTTACATACTGTACAATTCACTAATTTCAAATATGTAATTCAATCATTTTTGGTAAATATACTGAGTTGTGCAGCCATCAGCATATACAGTCATAGAGCATTTTCATAGCACAGTCCCTCCTCCCTTTTTCCTACTTCACCCCCTTCCAGGCCCAGACAGTCACCAGTCTGCTTTCTGTCTCCATTATTTCACCTTTTCTCAGCTTTCCATATGAATGGAATCAGAGGACATGTGCTCCTTTTAGCTGGCTTCTTTCACTTAGCATAGCCTTTTTGAGGTTAATCCACAGTGTACCATTTATCAGCTCCTTCTTATTGTTGAGTAATGTTCCATTGTATTGATAGACCACATATTATTTGTCCATTCATCGACTGAGGGACATTTGGTTAGTTTCCAGTTGTTTTTTTTTTTTTTTGCTATTATGAATAGCATCTTTTTTTATTAGTTTTATTTTGGTATCATTAATCTACAATTACATGAAGGACATTATGTTTACTAGGCTCCCCCCTTCACCAAGTCCCCCCCACATACCCGTTCACAGTCACTGTCCATGGTCAGATAATTATTTAAAAATATAAATAGTAAGTTTCAGTGGAGGGGCAAAATTTTATTGTTGTTGAGTTCATGATACATTTGTCTTACTGGTTTTAATAAGTTGCAAGATATTTGCTTAAAATGTCCCATTTATTTCAGGGGCTACACTAAGTATGAGACCAGCCCCCATTCCAATAGAAGACCCGGAATGGAGACAAACACCCCCCCCAGTCTCTGCCACGTCTGGCACCTTCCGACTGCGACGAGGGAGTCGGTTTACCTGGAGAAAGGAGTGCCTGGCTGTCATGGAAAGGTACATGTCTCCCCTTCCTATGAGCAGTCTCCCAAACTTAGAAGAGAAAAACCTTGGATAGATTTGGTTGGTTTTCATCTCAAACAAGTAATTTGGAATCTAGGTTCTATTTCTAAAAATATTTTGGTGTACAGTATTATAAATGCTATATTATTGAAAGAAGATCATCTTACCATTGAGAATTCATAAAATTGTAGCTAGTGTCTATCAATATAACGTAATAGTATTCTCAGTAATTGAAGAAACTTAGAAGAAATGTTTTCTACTTTAGATCTTTGTATTATTATTTGGGAAAACTCTTTCATTTCTTATTTTCTTCAAAAATACTGATAATTATGTAGGAGGCCACTGAGATTTAACTTTCTTTGATAAGGAATATGGCCTACATGAGCTTATTCCCAAAGGTTAGAAATACATGCTTTTGACTTTGATTTGGTAATTTATCTTCTGACTGTAGCACCAATCAGTACCTGATCCATAATAGGTACTCAGTAGTTTTTAAACTTGAATTTGACCTCAGCTTCAGTTTCCCATCTGTATTGATACAAATTAAATATGTTTGTGAAATACTCACCATATCTAATGTGGATCCTGTTGTAGAATTATCCTTTCAATCTCCTACCTATAAGTAATGTTTACAGAATTTTTTTTGATGGAGGGTTTTATATGCAATGAGGTAATAGTTTTTCTTTAGAAAAATATTTACTTCCTAAGATTAAATGTAGAGAAAGAGAATCTAATTAGATATACATAAAAACAATTACATTTCCATATTGAGATTTCTCAATGATCTAAATAATAGAAAAGAATGGAATCCAATGTTCAAAACTAGGTTTAACTTCTAAACTGATATAGAATGCATATTTATGTTGACCAGCTTCACTTTTTTTTCCATTTACCCAGTCTGACCAGTTGAATGGCATACTGGAAAGAGCATTTGACTCAGTCAGAAGACCTGAAACATGGTTTTGACTTTTCCATTAATCAGCTATGTAACTTTCTTAGGGTCACAGACTCTGAGCTGTAACTTCCTCATTTATGAAATGAAGTTTTCCAATGACCAGTCATGAATTATATGTCCTCTAGGACTTTTGTCATCTCTCTTCCTGCCTATTTCTGGTTATTTCCCAGCTCATTAACATCACTATCTGTGAAGAAGATGTAAAATGCTGATGTTCAGGCCATGTTTTTGTTGTTCTGATCAAGTTGAAACTAGTTTGCTTAAGGAGAAGGTTGACTCCAGTATCAAAAAAAGAAAATCCATTGATGTTATCATCTGCGATTTTCCTCACTCTCTTTATTATAGATTAGATAGCCACTCTTTTGGAAAAACTAATCTTTATGTGCGTGAGAGGTTAAGGTGAAAAAGATGTAATTTTCCTGGAAACCTGACATGTACAATCTCCTCTGTTTTTCTCATCTAGACGTTTTGAGTCTTTTAAAAAATCTCATAAGAATTTACCATGTAACAGATGTGAATTTGAGTAACATCTAACTTAAATTATTAATGCAATATTGTATATTTTCCTCTGGGTAACAAAATAAGCGTTGGTATAGTTTCTAGTTAAGTTCTAATTGTGCTGACTCAGCCATTTAATATTTTCATGAAGATATCAATATACATTTTTCACATAATGTCAGTGTGAGGAAGGATTATTTAAAAATAGACATTAATAATGATAGGTGATACTCCTAATGCATTCTCAGAATCAAACCTTGAAGGCTTTGCAATTCTTCTTAATTTTTTTCCAAGGCAGCAGGAGCTAGCCACAGAATCACACTGATTAAATTTCAGTTTAAAAGATATTGAGCACTTACCCTGTATAGACTTCCATTTAATCTTAATTTTCACTTTTTTGAAAAAAAAATTGAGTTATAGTTGACATACAATATTCTATTAGTTTCTGGTGTGCAACATAATTTGACGGTTACATACATTACGAACCGCTCACCATAGTTACCATCTGTAATTACCTTTTCACTTTTCACCTTATTTTTAATTAATAAGTCTCTTTAATCCAGGAATTGTTAGCTGTGTTTTAGTTTTATCTTACTGGCACAAGCAATTATGAGATAGGTTGTTTATTCCAATAGTTGCATAAATATAGGAAGCATTTTAAAGTATTTAACAGCAGTAGAACCAAAGGTCCCAGTATGACTTTCATCCTATGAAAGTGGAATTTTTAAATTTTTTACCATGGAATGCAAAATTCCCAAGCCTCAGAACAATGTGTAGTATTTTTTCCTAGACTGAATGGGTGAATAAATACATATGCACAGACTATAAAGCCAGCATAAATACTAGCCTTACTCAAATACATTAGTCTAAGTCAAAATTTTTTCCATTCTTCACACCATACACCAAGGCATTTCAAATTATTCAAAAACCTGAATCCATATACATAACAGAAGAAAACTTGGGTAATTCCCCCCATATCCTGGAAATGGTGAAGTTTTTGCTAACTGTGACTCAAAATCCAAAAGCAATAAGAGAGCATTGATTAATTGGATTACACAAGAGAAAACTGTGAGGAGAAAAAATTGTGAGTGAAGTTAAAAAACAAAAGTTGAAAAAATATTCGCTACTTTGTTACCTGATAAAGAATTTTTAAATGAGAAGACCAACAACTGTAGAAAAAGCGACTAAAGATATCAGCTGAAAAATAAATGCAAGTGGTCCTTAAACATATGAAAAGATTGTCAACTTACCTCATGGTAAGAGAAATTCAAATTAAAATTACACTGAGACACAAATTTTCTGTCAGATTGGCAAAACCCCAAAAGGTCCACGCTATTGAATATTGTTTGGGCTGTAGAGAAATGGGCACTCTCATCATTGCTTGTGGGAATGCAAAATGGAATGACTTCCATGGAGAGGATTTGACAATATCAGGGAAGATTACCCATGGGTACACCTTTTCACCCAGCATCCCCACTTCTAGAAAATTATCTCAAAGATACATTGGCAAAAATATGAAAAGACAGCACCCCTGTTTTGTAATAATATCAAAAACTGAATACAACCTCTGTGTCTATTCATAGTGGAGCGGTTGAATAGACCAGAGTGCATCACATGTTGGATGTGGAGGCTCGCACGATAGAGTGCTGTGCGCCTGAAAAAAGGAATGAATTTTTCTTTTCACAGAGTGAAAATCCTATGACCTTCTGTGCCACTGCTGTTAGTTTGAAATGCTTTTTTGCATTTTTGCAGCTACTGGAATGAATGCTTCTCTGTATACAGTGATCTCCAGAATATAATGTTTAAAAAAAAAAGCAGTGTCAACTGTATACAGGGAGCTACATTTGCGTATTCATGTATTTGTTTATAATTTGTTTTCAAATGTACACCATAAAATAATTGGAGATAAAATAAATACCAATAGAAGAGGAAAAAAAGATTGGAGGGGACAGTATAGAAGGTAGACTTCTCTGACTATACCTTGTGTTGATATTATAACCATATAGATAATTTACATAATTATAAAAGAAAATTAGATTGGAAAGGAGGGGGAAGATGACCCCTAAAAAAATAAAATGAAACAAACAAACTTAACTGTGTGTAAGCAAGCAGTGACTTAAATAGTCAAGAACTATATCAAATAACTTTACAACACAGTATTTTGACTATGCTTCCCTGGTCTTATTTCCAGCATAGGAATAAAAAGAACTATATAAAAACCTTACACTGTCTTTATTAATTTTGGTAATATTAATATTGTTATTCAGATTCTATGTTTATTTGTATAGATATAGATGTAGATATAGATATAAATAAAACAATCATGTTAATGTTATTAGGAACCAAGGTTTTCAGTATAAAAGAGATACAAGCATGAAATTGAAAGAATTAAGTTAAACATTGTAATCTGGTGTAAAAAAATTTTATCTTGAATTTATTCTTTTAATAACACTTGTTAAGATACAAATTCACCTAAAGTGTACAATTCAATGCTTTTTAGAATATTTAGTTATGTGACCATCACCACAATTTTAGAACTCACTCCCCAAAAAACCTTTTACCCACAGCAGTTACTCCTTTCCCCGTGACCCCTCCAATCCTGGTTAACCATTAATCTGCTTTCCATTAATTTGCTTTCCCTACATATACGTCACCTGTCTATTCTAGACATTTCCTATGAATGGAATCACATGTATATGGCCACTTATGACTCATTTATTTCACTTAACATAATGTTTTCAAGGTCCATCCATATTGTAGAATATATTAGAATTTCATTCCTTCTTATTGATAAGTAATATTTCCTTGTTTGGATATATCATATTTACTCATTTATCACCTGATACACATTTTGGATTATTTCCACTTTTTAGCTATTATAAATAAATCTGTGCCATGACAAAATTTGTGTACTGGTGGTGTTGCTAGGTCATATGGCAACTCGTTGTTCAACTTTTTGAGGAACTACCAGACTGTTTTCCAAAGCATACGCACCATTTTACCTTCTGCCCAGCCCTGGATGATGGTTCTAGCTTCTGACGGACACTTGTCACTGTCTTATTGGCTGTAGCCCTCCCAGTGTGTGTGAAGTAGAATCTCGTGGTTTTGACTTGCATTTCCCTGACTGCTGATTTTGAACATCTTTTCATATGTTTATTGGCTCTTTGTATATCGTCTTTGGAGAAATGTCTGTTTTTATCCTTTGCCTATTTTGGATTATAAATTGGGTTATTTGTCTTATTATATTGAATTCTAATGTTTCTTTATGTATTCTAACAACTCCCTTATCAGTTATATGGTTTGCAAATATTTTCTCCCACTCTGTGGGTGGTCTTTTCACATTCTTAATGAGGATCTTTGGAGTATGTCTTTTATTTTGATGAAGTCCAATTTACTTTTTCATCTGTTGTGTGTGCCTTTGTTGTCTTATCTAAGAAGACTTTACCTATATCAGAGTCTCCAAAATGTATTCCTTTGTTAAGCGTTTTATACTTTTAACTCTTATATTTAGATCTTTGGTCCATTTTCAGTTAATTTTTAT